GCGAGAGCGAGGTAGTTACAATCTGCAGAGCAGAGAACCAGAAAGAAGAGGAAGACACTGAGTGAGAACCATGGGAATCTGAAAAGGGTTCTCCTCAAGTCTTCAGTCTCAGAACAGCTTTTCCATCATTTAGGTTTAGAAGTGGTCAAGCTGTTGTGTAGGATTAACCAATAATGGTTTCTTGTTTCCTGCTTGATCTCCAGGACAAAGTAAGAGTAAACGCTGCATCTTACTGATTTGAACTGATGGAGTAGTTTAAGATGACATTAATCTTGTTAAGGGCCAAGATTACTTATAAAGCCTATGTCAGGACTAACTACACGAAAAGGATTTGGTTGACTGACACCATAATGCAAAATATTGTAAGAAGGGAAGCTACATAAATAATTACAGAAACATTTTATGTATAGCTATGTTAAAATGAAATCAATACTGTTGTTTTAAACAGGAAGTCCACTAATCGTTATTGTGTGAGGTATAACTCCTCTAAGTAGGAAATATTCATTAGTAAGTTTTATTTCAATTAGTTGAGTGGTTGTTTTACGACTCAATCAATACACTCAAATCTTTCATTCAAATCAATCAAAGTATAATTTGTGCACTGGTGAATACATGCATTTCTGATGCATTAGCTTAATTAAAGGAGCATGCAATTCTATAAAGATCAAAGGGTAGACAAAACATCATTGTTTTCATGGAAAGAACTGACGTAAGTACTGTTTGATATGCCCAAAAATATAAATAAAGGATTCTAACCCTAATGGAAGCGTAAAGCTCTGTATCTTTTCAGGAACTCCATACCATTCCCTGCTCTCTCTTCCCATTTGGGTGTAATGCTATGAGAGCATTTTGGAAGAATATTTAACTAAGTGGAATCTCATCAGGAGGCACTTCAAGGAAGTGCTTTTGAATGTTCAAATATAAATGTACTTTAATGACCTTCCTTTTATCGAGCCTACTATTAAAATGCTTTTCTAATACTTCCTTTCCCCAAAGCCTGGGCTAGTTAATCATATGATCTCTTTGAATAACCTTTGATCCTACAGGCTGATTAAAATCAAATTTGAAAAGAATACACAAGTATTGAGGCATTTGACCTTGGAAAAATTATAAACTAAGTAGTCTTCGATATTCCCTCATCTCAATGTCATTTTCCGTTTTAACTTATTGATTTTGCTTTTATTAAACGCTGTTCCTCACATCTTTTTGTCTTTTGCAACCCTATTGTATTAATCTTATTCTACAAAGTTTCCTATCTCAAATATGAAATGTGTAAAAACATGAAACTTTTAGAAAATCCTATACTCAAATTCCTACTTCACTATATGTTAGTGGGGTTACCTTGAGTTTTTCCCTTTTTGAACTTTTTAATTCACTCATATGAAAAATTGGAAAGAAATCTGTGATATCACATATTAATAACATTTAGATGGAATCATTTAGATTTTACTTTATATACAATATGTTGTAAATAAGTATATTATTATGTTTAAGGTTATGACTTTTTTTTTCACTGAAGCCACTAATGGTTCCTCTACATAGCCAATTTTTGTTATGCTTTGTTTTATATTCTGTGAATAACCCAGTTTGGTAAACACATAGGCTAACCTGACTTAAAAGTCTTCCAGTGTATGTTAAATTGACCTACTGAATACAATAAAGACCCATTCAGGCAACACATTTCAAGCAGAAAATGAGCAAAGTTTGAGTCATATGAATAAGTATTATTTTAAGTATTGTCAACAGTTTCAGTGTGAAATCTTCTTAATGGAAAAAATTGTCAGAATATTCCTCTTTTCTATTCCTAATGGAAAATGAAGTGCAATCCCATTAATTTTTATGTTTGTGGATGACTAAGGGAAAAGATTTTGACATTCATAAAATAATATTAATATATACACATCATTTTCTGGCAATGTCTAGTCAGTATTCTAATAAATAGTCTATATGCCTAGGAATGGCTGGCTAAGTTGAAAATCTTTTATTATGCAATGACAAATTACAATTGTGGTGACCTTTATTAGAAAGTGTGATTTGTGTGGGATTATCATGGTATGGCTTTCACATGGTTATGGTTTTCAATTGTGGACATTCTTGCTTTATATTTATTAATTAGTCTTAGTTTTGTTTCAGTGTCATTAGTATAATTTGTTGTAGAGTTTTGGTTAGTCTGGTGCATTAGTGATATTTGTAGTAAATTATGATATTTGTAGCAATATTTCTTGATTTATAATTTCCTAATAAGAAGACAAAAACATGATCTCAATATGAATAAATAAGTAATATGTATGAAAAAATCTTAACCACTGAACCATTTTTTCAATAAAATATGTAAATATATGGTAGGGTTGATCCAAAGGGGATAACCAAACTGAACAGGGTAAAAGTGGACATTTCAGAAGAAAACATAGTCCTAAAATTTATAAACCATAAAGGAAAAAGTACAAGTTGAACATCCCTAATCTGAAAATCTGAAATCCAATAGCTGCAAAATCCAAGACTTTTTGAACACCAACATGACATGAAAAGTGGAAAATTCCATACCTGACCTCATGTTATGCAATTCAGTCAAAATACAGTTAAAACTTTGTTTTATGCACAAAATTATTAAACATTTCTATAAAATTGTCTTCAGACTATATGTATAAGGTGTATATAAAACATATATGAATTTCATGTTTAGACTTGGGTCTCATTCCCAAGTTATTTCATTATGTATGTACAAATATTAAAAAATTCAAAAACCTTGAAACCCAAAGCATTTCTCTTCCCAAGCATTTCAGATAAGAGATTTTTAACATGTATATCAGTTAGGATTCTTTGACAGCAAGAATGAAAACTGGATAATTTAAAGAAAAAATAAGTGTACTGAACCATATTGAGTAGTTCATACAACTGAGGCAAATTTTAAATCGCCTGGACAGAGCAGCTCCAGGAAACCAGGCATCAGTCACCACTGGCAAACTCTTCCAGCTACAGGCCAAATGGCTTAGCTATAAACATTTCTTTTACTATGACTAATAATTTCAAGTCTAAGTTGGGTGGAGTTCATTACTAGTAATTATTATTTGATAGAAAATTTATGTTATCAGTTAACCACAAGTATGCAATGTATGCATAACTCTTTATCCGCCTTTTTAATCTTCCCCAAATAGTACATTATATTGTTTTTAATAGAAATATATTTTATTATCTAAAGTAAAATGATTCAATATAGTCAAGTGTTATGACTAAGCTCTAAACTTACTAAAATTAGATAAAAATGAAAAGCTTCTTAAAAGTACAAACAAGGTTTAATGTCCCCTTATTTTCAGGTGATCCACTCTAAATATTTTATTTATTTTTTTCTGGAAATAATTTGCTTTATGTTGTACTTAAGAATGGAGTGGAGGGCATGATATATATAGATATAGATAACATCTGTAAGTTGTGATTCATATTTATAAAGGAGGATAAACAATAGTTTATTTTCTACATTTTAGAAGAAGACATTAGAAAACATTGGCACTAGCTCAGGGTTGGTGGGAGCTATTTTCTTTCAGAGAGCACCGGAATGGCCCAGGCAAGAACTTTAATCCCCACCGATTTTATCTGCCATTTGGGTTCCCCCCAAACACAATTATCCACTTGAATAGTTCCAAACTTCCAAAATAAATCTTTGAACAACACAGCAGATTTATAAAAAGTGAGAAAACCAGATTTAGGCTTGTCCTCTTCAATATGGTTATTTATTTTGCTATCCCAGCTTTTACGCAAAGAATAAATGCCTTTTCTTTACATAAGTTGTGTGACAGTGGTTCATAGCCCTAAAATATATTTCACATGTAGATAATTAACCCACATTTATGTGGATGTTTCCAATCTTTGAATAACATTTTATTTAGAATAATTCTTATTTAAAAGTAAATATAATATAAACCTTTCGTAAATATCAACATTTCTAATTCTGAAATAGAGATGGGAAATCACTATTACCTAACTCTTTATTAGTTTGGTTTTTCACATTCTTGATTATTTTACATAAAAATAACCAAGTTATTTTATTTTTGCACAAAGTAAATCTATATTTTAAAATTAAACAATCAAACAAGAAAAATTTGTGAAAACTGTTTTCACCAAAATTATGTTTTGGTGTCATTAGGGACTCTAAAGACAAAAACTTCTTACCACATAGTCTAGGTAGTTGAGGAGTAATAAGTTTATTTTGCGTATTCGTCTTTCCTTTCTTCCTTCTTCCTTTCCTGTCTGCCTGCCTCACTGCCTCCTATCTTCTTAATGTAATGAGGTGAATTTGTGAGTATTCACACAGCCACTATTATTTCCCCTTCTCCCTAAGTCAGGGTTACTGGAAAAGAAAAACAACAACAAAAACCCAAACACACACCAAAATAACGTTAATATCAGGTATACCGAAAAGAAGGTGTAACCCCAATCAGAATAGCAGCCACTCTGTTCAAAACAGAAAACATATTTTATAATTACATACATTTGTCTTCTGAATGTTAAACAATTGCAGATAGAGCAATGATTGTCTGTACTTAGGGGGTAATTCCTAATGAATTAATCAATGATTGAAGGAATGATAAAATATTAAATAGCATCAGACATCAACCAGCATAATATAGTAAGAAAGAAAAGGTAGACAGCAGAGAACAAGATATCAAAGCAGAGGGCATAGAACAAATTCCAAAATACACAACCTGTCGAATGATTTAGTCAAATGCCTAGTGAGAATAGGACCTAGTCTGAGGTGTATGCTGTATAGTATTTGTATTTTGTCATAATTAAGAGTGGAAATATTCTTTTTCTCCTCAATGTGCAGTCATGTATTTTTGGAAACAGTGTGTCAATTTTCTTACACAGTGCAGACCCCTGTCACTTCTAGCTCACTTTCATTTATATGCTTGGGAGTGACGGACTTCATCCCTGACTTTAGTATTAATCACTCAAGTCTGTAATTGCTCAGGAGACACATAGATATGTTTTCTATTTTCTGACAGGAACCATCAAAATAAGCACGATGTACAACTGGAGCTGGGAGGAGCCTGAGATTGAAGGCAAAAGAAAAGAGACCCTGAGGCCCGATAGTGTTGCCTGAGCTTCAGAATCAAACCACATCTAAGACAAAATCTTCCCTGATTTTTTCATTTAAATAAGTCAGTTTGTTCCCTTGTATACTTCTGAGAATTTGAGTTGTCTGTTCAAGCCAAAAAAGTACTAAGTGGCATATATATGTGTAACTATAAACACACGTGTAGGCACGTTCACATATGTAAAAAATGAGATGTTTTCTAAATGTAACCAATTTTTATTTTTTCAAAATAAAATTAGATGTTAAATTACTGAATAATATAATGTAAATTATTAAACAAAAAATTAATAAGAGAGCCACTGATTTGGAAAAGTTTTAGCATCTTTAGCATGCATGTCTTAAAGATCTTATGGAAATATAAATATCTATGGAAAACTAAAAATCAGTCCTTAAGCATGTTAAAATAATTCTGGCTGTTACACATTACTTTCTTTTACTTGTTTTATTTTTTCAGGCAGACTCTCGCTCTGTCAGCCTAGATGACAGGAGTGGCTGTCGGGCTAGAGGGCCGTGGCGTCAGCCTAGCTCACAGCAACCTCAAACTCCTGGGCTCAAGCGATCCTCCTGCCTCAGCCTCCCGAGTAGCTGGGACTACAGGCATGCGCCACCATGCCTGGCTAATTTTTTTCTATATATTTTTAGTTGTCCAGCTAGTTTCTTTCTATTTTTAGTAGGGGGGGGTCTCTCTCTTGCTCAGGCTGATCTCGAACTCCTGAGCTCAAACAATGCTTTCGCCTCCCAGGTGCTAGGAATACAGTCACGAGCCATCATGCCCGGCCTATTTTCTTATAATGACAAACTGCAATGTGACTTGTTCCTTTTACTACTCCAAGACACTATTCATTTAGACTTGGGTTTTAACCTTCATTCTTCATTCATATACCTAATTATTTGAGAAAACTAATATCCTACATTTTTTGCTGGTTAACAGTCAAAGTACCAGTTTATAGGCAGTATAACACATTAAATAAAGTGAATATTAATTTTTGCCAAGTAAAGTCAGCAGCATGCATAAAAAGTTTTTCTCTGCCTATTTCAACATATAATATGAATGCACAGAGAAAACCAGATCCCGCTTAGATCATTCTTTCCTATCAAGTAGAATGTGGCGCAGAATGGTTATAAAAGATTCCTCATACCTGCGTTATGCTCTGGGGATTAAGACATGACCCATCTCGTCTCTGCTGACCCTCCCACGATGGCCCGGGTCCCCCACTGGCCGCTAGGAAGCCCCGCTGGAGACTGCCTGGACCAACAGCAGGGCGGGCGAGCTGCTTGGCTCCACTTTAAGACTTTACCTCATTAAAAAGGATATTTTAAAATAATTGTCTTCATTTTTTAGAAAAATTAAAGTTACTTCAGGCATATTTAAGAGAGAGAAATAACTTGACACAACGCGATGTTTATTTTATTCTATAATAAGCTGTTGTCATAAAGTCATGAAAAAATATATTATAGTCTGAAAATGATGTCCATATGGCAAAATGGTTGGTGACTCATGGCCCATAACATCACTCGCTTTGCACGGCCAAGCAGCTAGCCAAATGTGCAAATATAATTAGCTGCGCGCCTCATCTGTGAAAGGGTGTCCTTAAAATGAATCTGGTTCGTGGAGAATATCAGCTTCATTAAATCTTTGGGGTCCTTTGGGTGTCATTTAAAAGGCATTTGTTCTCCCTGACTTCATTACCTGCACCCTGCTCTGGAGGGTGGTCCTGGCACCGATTTACTCGCAGACCCTGGAGTGGGGGAGAGAGAAGGAAAGACGGGAGGAAGGATTCTACCTCTCATACTTCTTTCCACAACAAAACATGTTCCCCGTTTGCTATTCCCAGTTTTCCCTAATAAATTTTGTTTATAAATATCTGCACATTTCATGTGAATACATTAATAAATGACTGCAAAATGTTTTTGGAATATTTTCTGAATTGCCATAATTAAGGGAAAAACGAATGGTATGTCTTTTGACAGTGTAGATCTCAGATGTCTGTTAAGGATTCTTTCCCAACTATTCATTTATTTATGTCAAAAAAAAATCCGCTTCCTCAGGATCTTTGTATTTTTTTAAATTAGCTAAAACTTGAACATCAAGCATATGCTGTATTGTGGGGAAAATAAGTACTGTAAGGATAGAAATTAAGTTGAATGAAGTTATAGCTATTTTTGCCAGATACTTCTCAATTAACTATTTAAAGTGAAATAATATAATTTGAAAATATTTTTTTCACTTTTCATTAATACTGATTTTTCTAATTATAAAATAAGAAGTTCAGCCAGTCGAACGGTGGGGGAAAATGCACATTGTATGCTTAAATGTTTTTTATAGTTTGGCATTTGAGCTTTAATTTTGTGATTTCTAACCTCCATATGATTTAAGGTTTTTAGAAATCTAAATTCTATTTATCTAACATTTATTGATATATATTCTTGGATTAATTTGTTGATTATTCATTCTTTTTAAAAATGAGTTTGCTGTCCATCAGTTGTCCCCTGCATCACAGCACACTTTCCGCTCAATGCCAGCATCATTTATCAGTTTTGATATGTTGATATTTCCAGATCTTTCCTTTCTACAGTTCACTTTTATTTAAAACACTATTTCCCTTGTGTATTTGTGGAACATTATTCAACATAACTGATCTAAAGTTTCTAAAATATTTTTATTCTTTAAAATTACTGTTGTATCACAAACATTACATACTCATTATATTGCAACTAAGTCAAGACTGCAATCTATCTTCAGCAGTGTCAAACTGAACGAAGTAAGTAATAAACCAAAGCGCAGAAAATGAAATCAAATGTTTGATATCCATAAGAACTACTAGGAATTAACTGTAACTTCTATGTAGGACCTGTAAGGGAGTTACATTGCTTGACTCCTAAGAAAATATCTTACCATGCCTCTTCACCACCTTGTCAGACTTTCCCTTATTGTATTTCTTCCACAGAATCCTTTTTCTTATTTTGTTCTTACCTACTTCACTTTTTAAAAAATTTAATTTTAACCACTCTCTCCCTCTCCCCATGTATATATGTACACACACAATTTTCTTGTCCTCTTTCAATATTTTTATTTTTTCTTTATGTATTAATCAACATAACAAAATCCCAGAAAACAAGAGAAAAACAGAAAAATCTCTTTATTTTATGATTCAAAATAAGTTATGAAAATTGATATTTGCTCCAAAATATGTGTAGATTTAAGAGAATTGAGTATGTGTTTCTTTGTCTCTTTTTACTTTCCAAAATAAATAATTATCAAAGTGACAGTTTCATGGAAGAGAAATTACTGGTAATAAAAATAATATTAACACTAATAACAGCAACAGTAATAATAAACATCTGCCTGACCCTTCATCACAAGTGTTGTCTGACTACAGATGTGGAAACTGAGGCTCAGGTAAGTCAAACAATTTGACCAAGGGAGCGATGCAGTCACGATGTGAACACAAGCTGTATGTCCCCCGCTCACTGTCTTTATACCTACACCCTCCTGGTATACATATTATGCTTCTGAATTTTCTACAAAGGATATTACTTTAGTAATTAGTTTGTGTTTGTCTTCCAATTTGTACATAGGAGGATTCTTTAACTGAGATTTTTATTTCAAGGATTCAGAGGAAGTGAGGGAAACAGGAACAAGTTTAAACAACTACACAGTCATACTTGCACATAAATAGTGTTTAGAACAGTAACCCTATTGCTGAAAAATGAACTGTATGTCCTAAGTGTGAAACTGTTTCATATACTAGCAATGCTATTATACAGACTTAACTATTTTTGTCTTTTCTTCTGCTTCAGATTTTCCTTAACTAATAATTGACTTGCATGAAATCTTCCAGAAGAGGATATGGCTGGGCTAATCCACTACTAAACAAATCACTGCCCATTATATAGATTGCTGCTCTGTGGTCTGGTATTATTGACTGATGTAAACAGCTAATAACAATAATATAGTTATAGGGCCAGGCGCAGTGGCTCACGCCTGTAATCCTAGCACTCTGGGAGGCCGAGGCGGGCGGATTGCTCGAGGTCAGGAGTTCAAAACCAGCCTGAGCAAGAGCGAGACCCCGTCTCTACTATAAATAGAAAGAAATTAATTGACCAACTAATATGTATAGAAAAAATTAGCCAGGCATGGTGGCACATGCCTGCAGTCCCAGCTACTTGGGAGGCTGAGGCAGCAGGATTGCTTGAGCCCAGGAGATTGGTGTTGCTGTGAGCTAGGCTGACGCCACGGCACTCACTCTAGCCTGGGAAACAAAGAGAGACTATGTCTCAAAAAAACAAATAATATAGTTATATAATATAATATGCAATATGCCAGTGAATACTTTTGGCCAATTTTTCTTTAAAGGGAAATAGCAGAAACCACGAATATTACATCAACAAAGCTACAAAGAGTTTTATATGTATAATTAAGTAAAAAGAAAAATCAAACAATAAAACAAAATAGTGAGAACTGGATCAAAATTTCTAGCAAAAAGGTACATACAGTTCTGAGTCCTTCAGTCTCGTTGAGAATAGTTTACTCAGTCATATTTCCTTTGCAAACAGCACAATCTCCAGGACTAAATGATTATTTTTTAAACTAATGAACATAGGGGTGCTGAAGGAAAGGAATCATGAGAAAATTAACAGGATTTGTCAGCTTATTGGAAGTGGGGATGAAGAATACTCAGAATTGCACATTTTAAACGTGTTGTCTTAGAAGTTTAGTTTGTGGAAAATAGAGGAAGCGAAGAGTAAATAGACAGAAGTGTCCATAGGAAATTTGAATTTGTGCAAAAAATATTTACATATAATTGATGTGGCAAAATGGCCAATTAGAGTTGCCTGGCTTTCTTTCTCACCCAACAGAAAGAAAACAAGAGAATAAATGAACAACTAGACTTTGAACAGAGCGACTGAGGAAGGGCCGGGAGCCTGGAGACCTGGAGGACAGAGGCCGGGACGGCCGTCCGCCCTGCCCGGTCAGACCGAGCCAAGGCTTGATAGGGATCGCATTAAATGTAGGTTGTTCAGGGTAGTTAAGTCTTCCAATCCGTGAACATGGGATGTGATTCCATTTATATATATCTTCATTTCTTTCAGAAATGTGTCATGGTTCTTATTGTACAAGTGTTTCTTCTCCTGGTTAATTTCTAGATATTGCATTATTTTATATGTGATTGTAAATA